TTCTACTCATTTTCAACTATACATTTTTCAATAAAATAATATTTTTCATCATATCAATAATTTTTCTTTCTTTTTCAATCACATATTCCCCTATCATGTCAACCAAAAAAATGCATTCTTAAAGCAAAAATTTGCACCAAACATGGGCTAAGGGTAATTTGGACATTTTGCACCAAAAAATGACATTTTTGTTCACAAAAAGTGAAAATGACAATTTTTTTTGGATTTTCCAATTCAGCGACATTTATGAAAAAAAAATGCTATTCATCCCCAGTGGGGATGTATCCCCAGTCTATGTGGATGTAAATGATTGGTTAAATGATATGTGAAATTAGATAAATTATTTAATTTCATCTATTATTTAATGCCACATAGATTGAAAATGTATCACAATAGGGATGAATAGCATTTCTCTTTATGAAAATTCCTCTTATTTTATCGAGAAAGAAGAAAAACTACAGAGGATGCATATAGGCAGTCCCCACCTTCCAATCCTCGATCCCCACAACACTCATTCCTTCTACTCCCCAACTTCCACTCTCCACTCAAAGCCTTGACCTACACAAAAACGGAGGTTTTCATTGGGGTGCAGAATGCAGATTCAGGGAATGGAACTCCTCAAAATTTCTCTGCTCGCTCCAGTCCTTTGCATTTTCTGTTTTGCAGGCATTTTTCTTTTCTTTTCCTTGTTTCAAGCAATTTATGCTGCCATTTGAAATTTGCATGGAAAATTATTCATTGTCTGAAATCTTTGGTGCGTTTTGCAGATGGGGGCTCGATCGGGGTGAACTATGGTAGAATAGCTGACAATTTGCCGTCAGCAGTGAAGGTAGTCGAGCTCATGAAGTCTCAGGGCATCGATCGGGTGAAGATGTACGACACAGATCAGGCCGTCCTTAAGGCCTTATCCAGATCAGCCATTAAAGTTGTTGTCAATCTCCCAAACGAGCAACTCTCCAATGCTGCCAGACGCCCTTCATTCGCCAATGCTTGGGTTCTTCACAATGTTGTGGCCTACCACCCTTCTACCGCCATTGAAGCTATCGCCATTGGCAATGAAGTGTTCGTCGACACCCACAATACAACCCGGTTCCTCATTCCCGCCATGAAGAATATTCATCAAGCTTTAGTCAAGTACAAACTCGATGACACCGTTAAAGTGTCTTCTCCGGTGGCTCTCAGTGCATTGCAGAATTCTTATCCTTCTTCAGCCGGGTCATTCCGGTCCGATTTGATTGAACCTGTGTTTAAGCCCATGCTTGAATTTCTCAGACAAACCAGGTCATCTCTCATGGTAAATATCTACCCATTCTTTGCCTACGAGTCAAATGCTGGTGTAATTTCTTTGGATTACGCACTTTTCCGGGAGAATCCTGGCTTGGTTGACGCTGGGAACGGTCTGCGTTACTTCTCCCTCTTCGATGCCCAAATCGACGCCGTTTTTGCTGCAATGTCGGCTTTGAAATACGACGACGTCAAAATCACGGTGACAGAAACCGGCTGGCCTTCTAAAGGAGACTCAAATGAAGTCGGAGCAAGTGTCGAAAACGCCGCCGCGTACAACGGAAACTTGGTCCGGCGTATCCTAACCGGCGGCGGGACCCCTCTACGGCCGCACGAAGATCTCACCGTCTACCTCTTTGCTCTATTCAACGAGAACAAGAAATTCGGACCCACATCGGAACGAAACTTTGGCCTGTTTTACCCCGACGAGAAGAAGGTTTACGACATTCCATTCACAGCGGAGGGTCTTAAGAGTTACAGAGACAAGCATTCGCCGGCGACCGGAGGTAAACAGGGAGTGCCAACGGGAACCTCGAACGGGCAGACATGGTGTGTGGCTAGTGCAGAGGCGGGGAAGGATAAGCTACAAGCGGGTCTAGATTATGCCTGTGGGGAAGGAGGTGCTGATTGCCATCCGATCCAGCCAGGGTCCACGTGTTTCGATCCTAACACTCTAGTGGCGCACGCTTCGTTTGCCTTCAATAGTTATTACCAGAAGAAGGGACGTACGATTGGCACTTGCTATTTTGGTGGGGCCGCCTACGTCGTTTCTCAACAGCCCAGTAAGTCCTACTATTTATTGCATTTATTAGTAAATATTAGAAAAATTAAATAATTATTTATTATATTTTTTAACATATGGTAAATGACAAACGTAGGGAACAGAAATGTCATTTTTTATTGACCCTTGTGGGGAATCTTGGACAAGGACAATGGGGGACCATGAGTGTAAAAATTATGTTTGGCGGAAAATAAAACTTTATGGCGCATGTTAGGAGTCGTAGTGATGAATTGCTAACATGTGTTTCAAAGAAGACTGAAGGGGGTCCACAACCATGGGAAACTTATCTGTCGTTCATCTGTGGGGCCCGGGCCTTGGACTTTAAGACTTCTCTCTTTTTTTTTTTTTTCTTTTTATTAGTGTTATTCATAATTAACCTTCCAAAATTTTACGTTGAATTATATATTTTTCAATAAAATAATTTTACTTGTAAATTTAAAATTTTTCTCTATTTTTTTAATGACATATGCTTCAAAAAATAATTATTTGAAAATACATTTTCCGAAAAAGCAAAGCGCTCTGACAGGTGTACAGCCAGTCAAATTTCCACACCTTGTTTTACAATCGAGTAGCGTGACCTCAAACAGTACATTGTAATAACTGATTTCACGTTTAAAATAAAGTCTGTTAGTGAGTTGAGAAGGCGACAAAAGGGATAATAGATCTCGACTCCATCTCAAACAGTACATTCATTCTCATTCCCAAAGGGGAAAAAAAAGTACATATCCTTTCAATATATGATGTTGTACGTAATGGATTATCTCCTCATATAATACGCGGAGCCCGCGTACATGTAGTATGTAAGAAATTCGGTACATTTAGCATGATTCTATGATGTTTATCTAAAAGATATGAACGAGGGCATATGCTTTTCGACTGACTGTCTCTTGTCTTTTTAGAGTATGGGAAATGCGAATTCCCCACGGGATACTGAAGAGAAGGAAAGCAGGAACAAGTGGATCTATGGGCTGATTGTCTTTCAAATTGGGTACTTGCGTAAAATTGATTTATTATAATCTTGATCCGTAGCCGTTGTAATAGAAAGATTAGCTAGCAATTAATTGGACTTTGCTTTCTTTCTAATTAACATATTAATATATCCTTGTCTGTATTAGAATTATAATGAAAATTATATCTTGCTTATGGAGCAATTATATAAGAATAATGCTAGAGGTACATAATGATGCACATAATGGTGATGTGTCAATCATCCAATTGTTGATGTGTA